TTTCTCTCCCCCCTACCCCCCAAGCCTTGCAGGCAGGAGGAAAATCCCTCCCTCTTCTGTATGGAGGTAAGCAAATCACCTTTTTCAAGGGCAAGTTGAAAGAGGATCTAGTCCCCCCGCCCAGCACGAAACCAAAGATGTCTGCAAATTATCTTCAAACGGCTCAGCAGCCACCTGTGAGAACAGAAGAAACATCCTCTGGACAAGCTACCTGCAATCCCACGTTAACGGTGGCCCTCCACAAAAGACATCCACTCACAAAGGGAAGCCAGGAGGGGAGGCTGGGGACAGGACGAGGAATGAACAAAACGTCCATTGGCACCTGCCACGGCTGATTTTGTGCAAAGAGCTGGAGTAATGGTGACTGTAGTAGGAAGAAGAGAGGTTGCTCTGATAGGCGGTGAAGGCAAAGCAGGGAGCAGCAAGCCAGGAGTGAAAACTTAGGAACAGGGTTAAGTGGAGCGTTCCTGTCTCCAGCCGAGGAGAGGGGCTGGGAATAGGTTTCTAAACTAAGGAGCGGAGTGACACAAGAGTGTGGCTGAAACCACACAAAAAGGAAGAACCTCTTCTCTCAACAGTTAACCTGTGGAACTCCTTGCCAGGGGATGTTGTGAAGGCCAAAAGTATTACTAGGTTCAAAAAAGAATGAGATAAATTCATGGAGAAGAGGGTAATCAATGACTATTAGCCAAGAAGGTCCACAAAGTAACCCCATGCCCTAAGTGTCCCTGAACCTCTGACTGAAGGGGATGGATCACAAAATACATTTTCCTGTTCTGTTCATTCCCTCTGGGGCTCCTGGTGCGGGCGACGGTCAGACGACAGGATTCTGGGGCAGATGGGGCATTAGTCTGGCCCGGAGTGGCCTTTTTTAATGTTCATAGAAATAGCAAGCTTTAGGAACCTATCCCATAGCCAGCCATCAGCCAAGACCTGTCTGCACACACTGCGAAGGAGCCGTAGCTCTGGCCAGTGAATTAATACTTGGAAAGCTTGAGTTACTCAGTCCTCTCGTTTCTCACACGATGGATCCAGCCACCCAGTTTCCACCACAGATCAAGGGATTCCATCCTGATCCAAACTTTGTGGCTTCGGGGATTCCCTAGAAACATGCCCAGGTTCCACGAGGCCTCTTCTAAATGTGGAATCGGGAATCTTAGAAATATAGGAGGACAATTGGCCACAATCATTGAAAGTTCATTTCCTGGGTGTTTGCCCGGGGGGGGAGATGATAGGGAGGCTACAGTCTGGAGTTTGCCTATGAGGGCAAAAAGATTCAGCCAGCAAAGTCTACATGGGCCTTGGATAACTGTAGTGGTCTCTGAGGGCTCTTGATGTAAGTGGAAAATCCCAGGCAGTAACAGGTTACACTTGTATTAGTAATAAGCCCATTCGTAGCAGGGCCATCCTTACCCATACACAGCTGCGTAGGGCACCTGAAAATTTGGGGCACCGCTGGGTCTTAATGTCCACCCTCCCGTCTCTTCTTGTCTCTGCCCTGTGGTTCTGCATCCTCGGGAGAGGATCTAGTTAGCTTACGAGTAACAAAGCCTGCCAGAGCTGTTGGCAGCACACTGAACCTGTGTGTGAGCCGTTCAAGCGGTAAGGAAGCCGTTTAACCGGCATTTGCCAACCCCAGATATAGACTGTCAGTTTCTGAATTAACTGGGTCAGGACCTGAGTTTAACATTTGTTTTGCAAATAGTTCATCGGTGGGTTGCTGAAGATCATAAAATCACATTACCAAAAACATCGGCATCTTCCCCCAGGCTGGCATCGGACATCGGGGCACCCGTTTAATAGGATTGCGTAGGGCGCAGAATCCTACCGACAGCCTCAATTCCTAGGCTGAGATTTAAGGTTCTCTGAAATTGTCAGCATCACTGACAAACGGTGTAGGCCTAACAAGTTCAAAAGTTTGATCACTGCAAAACTGGAACTTGCATCCCCGTCCCTGCAGCCTGGCCTCCATATAGACTGGGCAATAGCTAAAGTGTCATGAAATGAAGAGTATTATGTCCAGTTCTGGGCACCACATTTCAGGAAAGATGGGGAGAAATTGGAGAGGGTCCAGAGAAGAGCCACAAGAAAGATGAGAGATCTAGAGAACAGGAGCTAGGAGGGAAGACTGAAAGAATTGGGCTTGTTTAGTTTGGAAAAGAAAAGACTGAGAGGGGACATGAGAGCCGTTTTCAGGTATCTAAAAGGGTGTCAAAAGGAGGAGGGAGAAAAATTGTTCCCTTGGCCTCTGAGGACAGGACAAGAAGCAATGGGCTTAAATTGCAGCAAGGGAGGTTTAGGTTGGACATTAGGAAAAACTTCCTGCCTGTCAGGGTGGTTAAACACTGGAATAAATTGCCTAGGGAGATTGTGGAATTTCCAGCACTGGAGATATTTCAGAGCAGGTTAAACAGACATCTCTCAGGGCTGGTCTAGATGGTGCTTGGTCCTGCCATGAGGGCAGGGGACTGGACTTGATGACCTCTCGAGGCCCCTTCCAGTTCTACTGTGCTATGATTCTATGACTCTATCACTGCCGAGCGCTTATTGGTATCACAGGCCAGCTGCAAGGAGGAGGTTTCGCTAGTGGTATCTCTGAATTTTCAGGGAATTTAGCTAAGGTCAGATGGAGGGGGGAGAGAGAGGAGGTGATTTAAAAACAAGAACAAAACAACCCCCCTTCTACTACGTAAAACCTCTCCCCCTCCACTCCAGTGTCCAGCTCATCTGAGGAAGTGGGTTTTGCCCACAAAAGCTCTTGATACCATATAGTTTTGCTGGTCTCTTGAGTGCCACAAGACCACTTGTTTTGAAAGTGACAGGCGAACACGGCGCCCCCTCTGAGACTCCCCACCAACCGTTAAGCTTTATCTTTCCGTATGTTTGTTGCCATACAAAAATGCAGTAGCTGGATCTAAAATGATTAATTAGAAAATTACATTTATGTAACCCACTAATCTGTATTTGTGTTTTGCCAAGGGCACTGAGCGAGATAGGGGAATTACATCCCGATTAGCTCTGATCCAAAAGGAGCCCAGATCTGAGATTATTTTGTGGGCAGAAAGCATAGAATTGTACAGATTCAGGGCAGACAAATCAAAATTAGGGTTCTCTCTTAATTCTCCCCTCCCAGGAGAAAAGGAAGAGGAATGGATTGGTGCGGGGCCTCTCGGAGTTTGCCGGGTAACAGCCGTAGAGTCGACGTCGCAAAGCAAGAGGTGAGATTACAGAAAAAGCTTCTTTCCCATTGAACGTGGCCTTCCGTTTCCTAAACAAAATTGCTTTTCTTTTTCTCAACATGTGTTCCAAAAGATTAAAGAGCTGTAAGCTTGCACAGCTTAATAAGAGTGTGCATTAGAAGAGTGGCCTGGAAAAGCAAAGCAAAACGAGTCCACTCTATGCGGGGAGGTTTTGAAATCCTGTTTATTGAATTATAAAGAACCTTAAAGGATAAAGGATATTGAAGTAGGGATTTTAATACTTTGTGGTATTTTGGGGAGCGTTTTGATCACAACCAATCATTGAAAAGTCTTTTGCTCTGGGGGAAAAAAAGGGAAGCCATTAAGAGTTAATAGAGACACGGGCTGGGACGATGTTGTATCAGTTAGGTGTCTGGTTGCTAACGAGGAGACTGTTTCCCCTGTAATTGCGTGTTTTGAAATCAGAGGTGAGGCATAATGGTGTGTATTAGAGACTGTGTGAGCTGCAAAGCGAGATTCTGAATCACGTGTGGATTTTATGGTGAAAGGATATTTTGGGCAAAGTTAATTTTGCCGTCAGATCTGTTTGAAGGTGTATTTTTAGCAGGTCAGTTACACTAGTACCTATGCATCTGCTAAGATCTAGGGTTGTGATGTCCAACCGGTTCTGAAGCAGAAGCCACTACAGTGGCTCCTGCTATAGCCAACTAGCCACATTAGTCTGAAAATGTAAATAATTTTGTGAGCCAACTAGTCACAGTCAACGAGCCCAATAGCCACACATGGGTCATGGTTGGCATAAGAACATAAGAATGGCTGTACTGGGTCAGACCGAAGGTCCATCTAGCCCAGTAGCCTGTCTGCCGACAGTGGCCAGCACCAGGTGCCCCGGAGGGGGTGGACCGAAGACAATGATCAAGCGACTTGTCTCCTGCCATCCCTCTCCAGCCTCTGACAAACAGAGGCCAAGGACACCATTTTATCCCCTGGCTAATAGCATGTTGGACACCACGGATTTAGGGGGAGGCAAGTTGGGTCAAAGGAAAGAAGTGACTCAAATTGTCCTCTAGAATTTCAACCAATCAGACTTTTCTGAGGTTTGAGAAAAGTACCTGGTTTGGTCCTTGGCTCCTCCTAGCGCCTCTAGAGAATGGACGTGTCGCGAGAGAGGGTGTTCTCACCATGGTTCATGCCAGAGCAGAAATATGGGGAAATGCAGTGAGAGAGCCTGTTCTCGTGAGATTTCTGGGGCAATTGTAGTGGGTCTAATAAAACCGGGGCTACGAAGCGGTTATCTGATCTAACGCGCCACTTCTTCCAGGGTTCCCCCATCACGAGGTAGAATGGCACGGTTGGAAACACTAAAAGTGTGTGGCCAGCGCGGACACCCTCCTCCCCTCGTGCAAAGTGGCACTCCAGCAAGGGCTGACGGAGACTTGGGTTGGGTTTAAAGTTCTCTGTCAGCGTTGGGCTGCATGCCAAGGGGTCCCTGGGCTCTTTCCTTGGGGATGTGTCTCTCACTGGAAAAGACCTTGGTCACATCATCTACTCCTGGCTCTGAATTTGAGATCAGCGGTTGCTAGGGACTGTGGGTCTAGAACCTGTGTCTGGAGGTATCTTGCCTGGAGATGACCGTCTCTACTTAGCAACGGCAGTAGCCATACCCCAAGGCAGGTCATGAGCCATAGAGGGCCCGAGTGACAGGGCCGTCCCCCTCCTGATTGGCTCAGGCATGCTCTCGAAGGCGGGGAAAATGGGAGGAAATGTGTGCAAGTAGGTGTGGAACTCCCGCTAGCTGCTGCTACAGCCTCCTTCCTCGTGCCGTTCCTGACCTTGGCTTTACCTCCTGCCTCGGACGCAGGGGGGCCGGAGGGGGGAGGTTAAATCAAGCATCCCAGTTCTAATTCTGACAATTCACAAAGCACATGGGATGCTGATCCCTGAACCAGGCAGTCCCCAGGCAGAGCAGGGAACGTTTGCGGGTGATCGGCAGCCTCGCCCCGAAACAGAACCAGGTTGGCAGAATGTTTCCCGGAGAGGAATAAATTTGGGGAAAGGGAGGGGTTGTTCTGAAGCACCGACCGTCTTCCCATGCCCAGCCCTGTGCGTGCAGCAGGGATTTCTGGGTAACTTTCCAATGGGAAGCTCAAGAGTTGTGGGATGCTGCCTGGAGGATCGAGTAGGCCCTGGCACCTCCTGGCAACCTGTCCGAGGTCAAAGAGAAAGCAAGGGAGTGGCGCGGGGTTTCCGGTGAGGAGTGGCATAGAGACGGATGGAGAACACGAGGAACAGTGATGGCGAAATGCCCCCCCTTGACAAAAGGGCTTTTGTTCTCCACGAGGGGATGCCCTTGAGCCTCGGCGAGGAGGGGAATAGCAGCAGGAGTGGAGACGGTGCCTCAGAAGAACGCTCCGCCGCTGTCCTGACGAGAGGGCATGGGCCACCTGGAATTCCAGGGGGAAACTGAGTCTCGCGGAGTAGGGAGGGGGCTATCACGCTGGTTGATTTGGCCTCAGGATGGGGCCTGCTGCTTTGAAGGAGAGCCTGTTTCCCGAGAAGAAGGGAGGGGCAATGTGGAACCTCTGCCGCTTGTCAGAAAACATCCGGGTGTAGCGCAGTGACCTGGACCACAACAAAAACGTGTTCCTAAACCCCGTGAACTGGAGTCTGTTCTCACTGAGGCCCACCCTAGCCTCTGGATCTTGGTGAAGCTACTCAGAGTAACCCAGAGGCGAATCGAGGCTGGTCCAAAAATGCCGGTATTCCAACGGAGGGTGAAAACGTTCCTGGGAATTTTGAATGGCAAAAAACCCCAGATGAATTTTTGGGGAAAGAAAGATCGTTATTACAGGTATAGAAATTAAATAGCGTTGTGTTTTCTCTGCAGGCGGGCGAGCCCTGCGGATCGACTGGATTCCTTATTAATGCCAACTCCCCAAATGTTACCGTCTTTACCATCGTCTCCCGGCTCCCCCGCGTGGCTCTCTCTCTACATCACCTCAGTTGTTCGGAGGAAGGTGTCGCGTTGAGCTCTGCCCAATGGTGCCTGGACACAAGCAGGCTTGGCAGCTCTTTAGTGATGTCACAAAGCCGCCGCGGCTCAGCCGGCGCATGAAGAGACGGCCTTGACGAGCGTACCCCCCTCCCAGGCCCTCTCTGTGCTAGGAAACTATTTTGAAGTTACTAAACTTGACTCCCGATTTAACAAATTCGAACTAGCGTGTCCTCACTACAAGGAAGCCTCAAAATGAGTCCACGGCAGGCTCCGTTCATGGGGACTGGCCATCTCAGCCTGGGAGCCCCAGGGCCATGGGGAGTCATTAGTTCGAACTACTCTGGGGAGGAGTTATTCTGAAAAAGCAGCACCGGAGCGTCCACACTCCCGCTATTTCAACAGAACTATTTCAGAAATAGCCAATTAGCCCATCATAAGACCGGATTTTCAGGTCTCTCCTCCACGTCGGTCTTCTCGCCTGAGCCTCTGGTCTCTCGCTCCGTCTCTCTCTCTCTCTCCCCTCCTCCTACTGCCCCCCCCCCCCACCTCTCCTCTGTCTCTCTTTCTCTTCTCCTCCTCCTCCTCCTGCATGGGGAGCGCAGAGCCCCAATGGCTGTTTGTGCCGCTTGCTCCTGCGCGGCAGCCCAGCTGAGCGGCTGCCTATGAGCTCCAGCTGCCCTCCTGCACCGTTTGCCTTCACCCCAGCACAGATCCTGCAGCCTCCCAGTTGTCCTCTCCCTCCCCGTCGTTCCCCCGTCCTCCTCCTGGCCAGGGTCTGTTCACTGCCAGAGGGTGGGGCCTGGAGCTGCTGTCACACCGCACGTCACCGCCCCCTTCGCCTCCCACTGTGGCGCTTGGCTGACTTCTGCGCCGCTCAGCCAGGCCACCGCAGGGAGCCGCTTGCTCCCCCACGGCGGCCCGGCTGAGTGGCGCAGAAGTCAGCCGAGCACCACGGCGGGAGGCAACAGCGCCTCCCAGAGGGAACAGCCAGCATTTCAGCGTTACGCAGTCACAGACATTGGGCTACTATATATATGATGAGCGTTATTCCTTGAGTGCAGATTTTAAATTCCATGGCCCATTCTTTTGGGGCTTCATAATGTGGATGCTCCACTTACAAATTCAACCTGGGGTAAGTAAAGTCCTAGTGTAGACCAGGGCCTAGTAGGCAATACATCCTCTCCCCAACTTACAAGCCAGTTACGAACCAAGCAATGGGTCGTAACTCGGTTTGTTCGTAAGTCGGACCCTAGAGTGACCGTGCTGTTTGTAAGCGCGGATTGCATTCGTAACTCCGGGTCCACCGTTTACAATACCTTCGGTCGTAACTGCGAACGGTCGTAAGTCGACCGTTCGCAACTCGGGGACCGGCTGTACGTCCTTGTAGAAACCATGGAGGATTGTAGAGTAGTCTTTCTCCTTCGCAAAATCTAGGTGCTTCTCGTATTGGAAGGTGGGACTTCTTGCCTGTTGCTACCCATTTTATGCGGTAGGATTACATGAAGAGTTAATGGTTTGCTGGGATGGATGGGCGGGTGGATTTACAGACCCTACGCAGCCACAGTGCCTGGGATAACTGATGCTGTTCTGCTCCGTAAAAGGATTGGGCCGATTAAATGAAATCATGAGACATGCTATGCAAATTACATCCCAAATCTGATTTTCTGACAGAGATTGGAGGGGCGGGGATTGTAAACGGTACACTTTCTTCCCCCCTTGTCTTGACTACAGGGTGCCCTTTCCGAAGGAATTAGCAAAAGGTCGGTCCTCCAGCCCACACTAATGCCTTAATATTCTCAGGAAGAGTTTTAATAAAAAAAACGCCCTCCCCCCCTGCAATTTGGGATTACGTCACGCATTCCAATATTCCCGCTCCGTGCCGATTGGCTGATATTTGTGACATTTACTGGGGGAACCATCTAAACCAGCAGTGAAACATCTTTGCATGCCGGTCTGCATGCAGCCTTGATGCATTCAACAGCTCATCGCTTTCATTGTATCTGGCCTCTGGATCAATAGGATATTTGTGCTTTTAACAGATTAGAGCCTCTGACAACTGCCCCCCACCCCCTCGCCCCGTTCTACTGAAGAGCCTAGACAGAGATGTAAATCTGTCACATTTCATGAGCCTGTGTCCAAGGGCCTGGAGGAGTTTTGCATTCGGTTACTTTGTCTTTTTAATCTCTTTTGTTCCCGGGTTGGGTAACGCCATATTGAGTGATGGATTTGAGAACTGCAGGCTTGCACAATCCCAGTTTTGTAATCTACCACAAACTGATCTCATTTTCAGGTGCTCGGTATTTTGATGTGCCAATTAACTAGGGATCAGTTGCTATGACATAATGTACTTGTTCCGGAGCTTGAATAAGACGGCTTCTATCCAAGAAACAGTTACTCTTCCTGGATTTGTACAGATCAGAGAAATGGATCTGCACCACCCACAAAACTCGTCTGCCGCAAAGTACATAAAAACGAAGGTGGGTTTGTTATTAACTGAAACTTTCCAGACAGCCTGTAAATGTTTAAAGGGGTTCTGTGAAGTCGGGCACCGTGCTGAGAAGTGTGGTATAACAATGGAGACAAGATAAACTCAAAATATGGCACCAATTCAAATTCTGTTGCGTGTCTGAGGACGGGGCAGGTTGTTCCTTTGATCATTTGGTGTTTGTTTTTAAAGGACAATAAATAGACATCTATTCGTGGGGGTTTTTTTAAACTTACAATAGAGAATTTATTTTAACAAATAAAGATTCTCCGGCAGTACGTTTCTGGAACACCGAGAACCCAACAGTGAAACTGACTAAAAATAAAGTGAAACTGCCTGGTTTGCAAGAAATGGCAAAGGTAAACAAAAAGCTGTGAGATGTCCAAAGCGTTTGGTTTTAATAATCGAATGTGATTTGTTTGTAACACAGAGAAGGAAATTCATTGTTAACGAGTGTATTTTTTTATTGTGCCAGTGGCATTCAATTAGGTGAGAGGAAAAATTACAGAGGGACAGACAGAAACGGATGTTCCAGCGATATTTCAACAGAACGACACTAGAAGGTGATAAGGTGACCCCCAGCTGGAACCCTCACCCCCTCACCCCGAGCCCCCCTCCGGCACCCAAAGCCTCCATTTAGACCCACATCCTCATTTAGAGTCCTCACTCCTACCCCTTGCCCCTGCCCAGTAAACATAAGGATGAGGAGAGCAAGACACTGAAGAAGGGGGAATGTTGTGAGTGGGGGGGGG